TGAGAGTGTCTCTGACTTCCAACTCAATCTGCCTTTTAGTTTCGTCAGAAAGATCATTGTGACTGAGGATGTGCTTGAAAGAAGGCCCATCGGAACAAATAACTTGAGAAGTGCTAAACAATCGAAATTGGGCCGAAGAGAATTTCGCTGAGCCCACACGAAGCCGTGGGAGGAAGGCACGGACGACCGACTGGAGAGCCATCGATGTGACCAACGGCAGCAATTTGCGGAATTTTTCCGACGACTATCAAGCGATTGGTCGAACATTTTCGCGCGAGCTGCAATGGTTCCTACGACTCTCGTTGAGTTGCGAACATTTGTAGCGTCCGTTCCAGATGGATCAATAGGGGACGAAGCGATATTGGATGCGGATAGCCTCCTCTTCTTTACGACCTGAGGATTAACTTGAGGATCTGAACATGGAACGTCCAAAATTCTTCACAGGAAGACTCAAGCACATCAGAGTTGGGCGTTAGGAGGTGGAAAGAGTTCAGTTCAGTTCAGTTTATTGAGGGAAATAGGCGTAAGCCTTTAAGTACCCTATTTGCAACGTAAAAATGTGTGGTGCACAGATAGATGTTCTGGGCTGAAATAGTTCGAACACGCCCATAATGGTGGGACAAAATGAGAAGGAGTTACAGGGGTGAGCTCGACTTCTCATCGCTCTTGGTCATTTCGGAACATAAATATGTCCAGATTCTTCTTAAAAATTTGTATAGATGGTGACATCACAACATCTGCGGGAAGCTCATTCCATGGTTTGACCACCCGAACCGCGAAGGAGAACTTCCGCACATCCAGCCGTGCCTGCTGAGTGCGCAGTTTTAACGGGTGACCTCGGAGGTTGGTCGTGGTAGCAAATTCAAAAAAGTCTTCGAAGGCCAGACTGCAATCCAACCCCTGTACAATGCGGAAGGCTTGCAAGTGATCTCCGCGAAGTTGCCTGTAACTCAAAGTAGGTAGGTGCCGAAGATAAAGTTTATTGTAACAGAGTATATAAACGTGTGTAACGTCAGTAGAAAACGAATAACGAATTGAACATAGGAACCAACAAGGTAGATGACATTAAGGAAATATGTACATGCATCAGGGTAAAGGGTTGACCCGGAAGAAGACAAAGGGTGCAAAACAAAATGTAACAATGATCAACGAAAGAAAAACATGTAACAAACAAGGGTGGGACTTATCGGGTACACAGATCAGCGGCTTTGATCGTGCCCATGTGGTGAGCTTGGTCCGGGGTTCTCTAAAAGATGAGTATTCACTTGATTATTAAAACAAGGTCAGACCCCTATGCTCTATTTGGGCTGTTACATAGCCCCCCTCTTAGGATGCAGCACTGTCCTCAGTGCTGCTATGGTTCACGGGTGAAGGGATAGTGGTCTCGACGGTTGAGGGAACTGTGACGTCGACGGCTACGAGGGGAACTTGGTCGTCTGGAAGGATGGGTAGGGAGTGTAATGTGCAAAGGGGTAAACGAGCGCGGTAGGGTTTGAGTGTGTTGAAGTTAGCTGTAGAGGTGGGGGAGTGGGGTTGCGAGGCATCGCGGAGGAAGTAGTTTGAGGGTGACAAAACATCGAGAATAACGAACGGACCTTGCCAGGGGTAGTGGAGATTGGCTGAAATTCCGCGTGGTGGTACGGGGATGTAGTGCATGACTAAATCGCCCACTTGATGTGTAGCGCCAGTCGAATGGTGGTCATATTGTGTTTTTTGATGTGAAGATGACGCACCGATTGGTTCGCGTGCTGAGTTGTATGCGGTACGCATCGCTTCACGAAGATGAGAGGCGTAGGACGATATGGTCGTGGGGTCAGGGGTATGGAGGGAGTATTTGCAGCGTATCCTGCCCGGGCCGTCAGGACATCATGCCACAAACGCGTGACAAGCGAACGATCAAGGTCATGGCCCCCTGTTCACACCGTCTTTGTGCTGATTGGCCACCCATCAGCCTATGACAGTCCCCCTTGCCATATACCCGGCCGTTTCCACAAGCCTCCTCACTTGTGCTGTCTATCGTACTCAGTACACGTCCTATTTCCAATTAGCCTTCTGTTTTGCATACATAACATTGGCGACGCAGCCTAACGAACATGTCTTCATTGCTGCCTACACCGCTACCTTTTTGGCCAAAGAACACCCCGAAGCCCTCAAATGACTCGTGGTTGCAATGGAGGAAGACATTTGAGGATTATATTGAACTACTCCCGATTTCGCCACCCAGGATTGTACTAGACGTCCCATCTAAGTTGAAACTCCTCCGGTCGAATCTCGGAGAGTTGGGACAACGATATTTCGATGCCCTCAATCTACAAAAGGCTATAGATCTCCAAACAGCCTTCTCAAAACTCGAGTCAGCGTGGGGAGGAAAGGACAACGTCTTTCTCAGTCGCTATCGGTTTTGTCAAATGCGTCAAGAATCCAATCAATGTGTCAGTGATTTTATTACTAATCTGACTGTGGCCATTCAGGACTGTGGGTATAAAGAGATCAAGGCAGACAACTTCGAGCACGCAATGCTCGTTCAGCAGTTGATCGTCGGTCTGCGCGATGAAAAAGCTCGGGAAAATCTCTTATCAGAGAAGAAGGACTTGTCATGGGAGAAAGCCTGTGATATTGCCAGTCATCAGGAGCGCGTGCGGCAAAACCTTCAGCAGCTGAATCAGTCAAACGATGGAGTGATAGCATCCTTGGAATCGGAAATGGCTGTCTCCCTGGTCAACACTGCTGTGTCTTCACCTAGACAGCGACCCTCAGCTCCCTCAAAACAACTATCATCATGCTACCGTTGTGGTCAGCATCATATCCGGTGGTCAGACTGTAGACACCAGAAGACAGTATGCCAGTTTTGCAAGAAAGTCGGCCACATCGAACGAGTGTGTTTCTCCAAAAGACGAGCGAATAGTAACACGCATGCGACCTACCCTAGTCCAGCTGGGGATGGTGAGGCGATACTCCGAATGTTTCCGGCCAATGCTACTCTCCAATCCCCCTACACCATCACGCTTCCGGTTGATCACCATCCCGTGAAGTTTGAAATCGACACTGGCTCAGCTGTTACTCTCATCAATGAGGCCTCTCTTCAGAAAGTACCCTCCCTCCTACCGGCTAGCTCAACATTCCGTAGTTACACTGGACAGAACGTAGACGTTCGAGGGGTCTTTACAGCCGAAGTCGAACATGATGGAGAACTTCATTACTTGCCGGTTCATGTGGTGAGAGGAAGCCAGCAACCGAATCTCCTTGGACGAAATTGGATTAAATGTGTGCCTTCTGTGCTATCCTATGTCCATCGGATTGGTGTAAATCCGGCTTTAGACTCAGTTTTGGTAAATCATAAGGATCTATTTCGTGACGATTCAGCTACCCACTACCGCGGTCCACCTGTTAAGTTTCAGTTTCAGTCAGATTTCCGGCCCCGGTTCTCCAAAGCTCGTACAGTCCCCTATGCAGTCGCACCGAAGGTCGAAGAAGAGCTGGATCGCCTACAGAAAGCGGATATTATTGAGCCCGTGCAATATTCGGAATGGGCAGCCCCAATAGTTCCTGTTCTTAAAACCGATGGTTCTGTGCGTATCTGTGGCGACTACAAGCTGACAATCAACTCAGCAACTAAACTGAACCCTTATCCTCTCCCGCGCATCGAGGATCTGTACGCATCTCTCTCGGGTGGTCATCAATTTACAACTTTGGACCTAAAGCATGCCTACAACCAAGTCGTCCTAGATACGGAATCCCGAGACGCCACCACCATCAATACGCATCGGGGTTTATTTCGATATAAAAGACTACCATTTGGAGTAAGTTCGGCTCCCGGTTTATTTCAATGCTTGATGGATAATCTCGTGAAGGATATACCTCACGTTTGCGCATATCTTGACGATATATTAGTTACCGGCCCATCCGAACATAGTCATCTAGAGATTCTAAACATCGTGTTAGGACGTTTAGAGGACGCCGGTTTAAAACTCAGGAAAGATAAGTGCACTTTTCTTGCCAACTCGGTAGAATACCTGGGCTTCAGGGTGGATAAAACTGGCCTCCATCCACTCGAACATAAGCTCAAAGCCTTGAAGACGGCGCCGCGCCCCAACAATACTAGTCAATTGCGTTCAGTCCTGGGGTTGGTCACCCACTTTAGTCACTTTATGAATCAATCGGCTACAATTCTCAAGCCTCTTTATCGACTACTTGAAAAGAATTGTGGCTGGCACTGGGCGGAGGTCGAACAAAGTGCTTTCGAACAGGCAAAGGCGGCTCTTACCTCCTCATCTGTCCTAGTTCACAATGACCCCGAAAAGCCTATCATACTGAAATGTGATGCGTCTCCGTACGGCGTAGGTGCGGTTCTCATGCATCGAATTCCCTCGGGTTCGGAGATGCCGATTGCTTTTGCATCAAGAACCATGTCACAGGCGGAAACCAACTATTCGCAACTAGACAAAGAGGCCTTAGCAATAATGTTTGGCCTACATCGGTTCCACCTGTATCTTTTTGGCCGACACTTTGAAATTCACACTGATCACAAACCCCTCTTAGGTTTGCTGGGAGAAGAACGAGGGATACAACAGATGTCCTCGCCAAGAATGCAACGATGGGCACTCACTTTATCTGCTTACACGTATGCAATTAAATACGTTACAGGTAGTGCAAACGTAGTGGCTGACGCCTTGAGTAGGCTTCCTATCGTGGACGATGGCATTAACGGGGCACCTGTTTTTGAGACCGTGAATCTTTTGCAGAATCTAGTCAACGCGTCTGTAACCTGTCAACAAATTCGACAGTGGACCTCGAGAGACCCTCTCTTAAGTCGGGTAAAAAGAGCCTTACAATCTGGCTGGCCGTCCTCCACCTCCTCTGATTTTCAACCATTCTTCAGCCGTCAGAACGAGTTAAGTCTACAAGACGGATGCATACTATGGGGCAATCGTGTAGTTGTGCCACCACAAGGCCGACGGGCCATCCTCAGAGACCTGCATAATGCTCATCCTGGTACAGTTAGAATGAAAGCTCTCGCCCGCAGTTATGTTTGGTGGCCCAAAATTGACGCAGATATAGAAAACGTGGTGAAAGCATGTCACGTGTGCCAAATAACACAGAAGACCTTACCGAAGGTTCCTCTGAAGCCTTGGGCCTGGCCCGACTCGCCGTGGAAGAGGGTACACGTCGATTATTTTGGGCCCTTCCAAGGCCATATGGTTTTGGTGGTAGTTGACGCCCAAACTAAATGGATTGATGCGATTCCGACAGGAAATTCTTGTTCCTCACTGACTACAATCAACAAGTTGCGAACCGTCTTTTCTACTTTTGGGATACCTGAAATGGTCGTTTCAGACAATGGCCCGGCCTTTACTAGTGCAGAATTTAAAGATTTCATGGAGAAAAATGGAATTAGACATTTAACTACTGCCCCGTACCACGCTGCTTCAAATGGCCTCGCAGAGCGTGCAGTCCAGACAATAAAGCACGGACTAGCCAGACAGAAGCGGACTTGGCCACCAAGTTGTCACGCTTTCTGTTCAGCTATCGCATAACACCGAACGACTCAACTGGTGCTTCGCCTGCAGAATTGATGCCCAAGCGGCAGTTGCGCACACGACTCGACCTGCTTAATCCATCAACGCAGGATAGAGTCATTGCAAAACAGACAAAGATGAAAGAACGATATGATGTGAGCACCCGACCACGAGTCATCGCGCCCAACGAAAGTGTCTACACGCGACTGGAACACGAAACGAACTGGTGTCCAGCGGTAGTTCGAAAAAGCGAGGGTCAAATAGTGGAATTAGAGTTAGAAGGTGGGAGAATTGTGCGTCGACATCTGGACCAAGTTCGCAGCCGAACGGACACAGTGAGTGGAGAATTCGGAGAGTTAGAACTGCCAGCAACCCTTGATAGGGATCCTGACATCCCGAGGACTGAGCTCCTACTTCCTGAACAGGCCACTACGCCATCCACCGAGGCTTATGTTCCACCTCCTTCTACCCCGGCCAGCACTAGCTTAGGGGCAGAGGAGTCAGTGACTGCACAAAGCGGCGCAGAGGTAGAAAATACCGCCCTGAGGAGATCGACCCGAAACCGCAAACCTGTCCAACTCTTTCAGGATGAATCTTATTAGAACATTGTCTGACAATCCACTATTACCTATACTGTTCCCCTCCCCTCCCCCTCATGCTCTCCACTTTAGGGTGGAGGGATGCAGCGTATCCTGCCCGGGCCGTCAGGACATCATGCCACAAACGCGTGACAAGCGAACGATCAAGGTCATGGCCCCCTGTTCACACCGTCTTTGTGCTGATTGGCCACCCATCAGCCTATGACAGTCCCCCTTGCCATATACCCGGCCGTTTCCACAAGCCTCCTCACTTGTGCTGTCTATCGTACTCAGTACACGTCCTATTTCCAATTAGCCTTCTGTTTTGCATACATAACAGTATTGAAGATCTGCGGGGATGCATATCTCGTGACCGGTCCAGAGGTAATGGGGTGTGAATCCAGTGGACGAGTGGACTGCGCTCGTATAGACTAAGAGGCAGAATGGGAGTTGGACGTCCGAGTCATGCTCATGGCTGTCTTTCGTAAATGCGAGAAGGAGATTGCGAATGGGGCGGTTGGTGCGCTCGACAAGGCCATTACCTGCGGGGTGGTATGGTGTC